CCAAACACGTTCTACGAGGCCAGCATAATTCTAATTCCAAAACCAGAAAAAGACACAACAAAGAAAGAAAACTACAGGCCAATATCCCTGATGAACATAGACACCAAAATCCTGAACAAAATACTAGCAAATCGGATCCAGCAATACAACAAAAAAATTATTCACCATGAGCAAGTGGGATTCATACCAGGGATGCAAGGCTGGTTAATATTCGCCAATCAATAAATTTGATGCACCACATAAACAAAATGAAGAATAAAAACCACATGATAATATCAATAGATGCTGAAAAAGCATTCGACAAATTCCAACATTCATTTCTGATAAAAACGCTCAGCAATGTGGGAATAGAGGGATAATATCTCGACATAATAAAGGCCATATATGAAAGACCTATAGCCAACATCATACTCAATGGGCAGAAACTAAAAACATTTTCATTAAGAACAGGAACAAGACAGGGATGTCCACTTTTGCCACTCTTATTTAACATAGTATTGGAAGTCTTAGCCACAGCAATCAGACATGAGGAAAAAATAAAAGGGATCCAAATTGGAAAGGAGGAAGTGAAACTGTCATTATTTGCAGATGACATGATATTATACATAGAAAACCCTAAAGACTCCATCAAATATCTACTAGACTTAATAAATGAATTTGGAAAAGTAGCTGGATACAAAATTAATGTCAAGAAATCGACGGCATTCTTATATACCAATGATGAACTCACAGAAAGAGAAACCGAAAAAGCAATCCCATTTACCAATGCGGCAAAAAAATTAAGATACCTAGGAATAAACTTAACCAAAGAAGTAAAGGACCTATTTGCAGAAAGCTACAGGACATTGAAAAAAGAAATAGAGGAAGATATAAAAAAGTGGAAGCACATACCTTGTTCATGGATTGGAAGAATTAACATCATTAAAATGTCCATACTACCCAAAGCAATCTGTAGATTCAATGCAATCCCCATCAAAATACCAATGACATATTTGACAGAACTAGAACAAATACTTCAAAAGTTCATATGGAACCGAAAAAGTCCCCGAATAGCCACAGCAATTTTGAAAAAGAAGGACAAAGTAGGTGGGATCACAATACCAGATATCAGGTTATACTACAAAGCGACTGTAATCAAAACAGCCTGGTACTGGCACAAGAATAGGCATATCGACCAGTGGAACAGAACTGAAAACCCAGAAATGGACCCAAGGCAATACGCTCAATTAATATTTGACAAAGGTGGCAAGAGCATACAGTGGAGTAAGGACAGCCTCTTTAATAAATGGTATTGGGAAAATTGGACAGCTACATGCAAAAAAATGAAACTAGACCATCAACTTACACCATACACAAAAATAAACTCAAAATGAATAAAAGACTTAAATGTGACTCATGAATCCATAAAAATTCTAGAAGAAAATGTAGGCAACAAAATTTTGGACATCATATGGAGCAGAATTTTCACTGATACATCACCTAAGGCAACAGAAACAAAGGAAAAAATGAACACATGGGACTACATCAAACTAAAAAGCTTCTGCACAGCAAAAGAAACAATAATCAAAATGGAAAGGGAACCCACTGTATGGCAGAACATCATTGCCAATGATATATCAGATAAGGGGTTAATTTCCAATATATATAGAGTGTTCATACAACTCAACAAAAGGAAGACAAAAAACCCAATTAAAAAATGGGCAGAGGAGCTGAATAGACACCTCTCCAAACAGGACATACAAATGGCCAAGAGACATATGAAGAAATGCTCAACATCACTAATCATCAGAGAGATGCAAATTAAAACAACAATGAGGTATCACTTCACACCTGTCAGAATGACCGCCATCAACAAATCATCAAACAACAAGTGTTGGTGAGGGTGTGGAGAAAAGGGGACTCTAGTACACTGCTGGTGGGAATGCAGACTGGTGCAGCCACTGTGGAAAACAATATGGTGTTACCTCAAAAAATTGAAAATTGAACTTCCATTTGACCCAGTGATCCTGCTTCTAGGAATATACCCTACGAAGCCTGAAACATTAATCAGAAAGAATATATGTACCCCATGTTCATAGCAGCACTATTTACAATAGCTAAGATCTGGAAACAGCCCAAGTGTCCATCAGTAGAAGAAGGGATGAAAAAGCAGTGGTACATATACACAATGGAGTACTACGCAGCTGTAAGAAAGAAAGATCTCTTATCCTTTGAGATGACATGGAGGTACCTGCAAAGTATTATCCTAAGTGAAAGAAGCCAAGCAGAAAAAGACAAATACCACGTGATCTCACTTATATACGGAATATAATGAACATAATAGTCTGAGGAATACGGTAGACCCAGAAACATGGAAGTAGGGCATAGACTGACATCCCTCAGAAGAGGGGGTGGGGGTGTGTGTGTGAAGAGATAAACCACAGAACTTATATGCATGTATGCATGACCAATGGACATGGACAACAAAGCCGGGGAAGGGACGGGTGTGGGGTGGGGAGGGAGGTGCCAATGGGGTAAAAAAGGAGAAACATGTGTAACAAAAATTTAATTAATTAATTAATTAAAAAGGAAAAAAAAAAAAAGAGTGAACCCTGAAAAAAAAGTCATCCTTTGGTTTATAGGAATCATTGCATTTTTTTCTCAAGTGTGTGTGAGTCCTTCACCCTGGCTGGAAGGCAGGCTTTGAGAACAGCATGGGTCTCCCCAAGGGCGTCTAGGCAGGCCTCACCCCCATATGCCCCCGGTCCTCCTGTTGCCCCCCGTCCTCCTGTTGCCCCCTCTCTCACTCGGAGTGTTTGCACTAATCACCAAAATAAATGTATCACTGGGTCTGCTACAGGGAATCCGTGATGGAAAATCATGTGAAAATTGTATACTTGGAGAAACAAATTATGAAAGGATTTTTTTCATAATACCTGAAATCTCAATGTAAAGGGCATGCTTATTTTGTAAACTACATTAAATAAATACATTATAAGCCATGATGGTCGTTAAATAAGCAAAATTGCAATGAAGATAACAGCTGTGATAAATGGTTTAAAATAAACAGTGAAATCCTTAGAAGTTTAAAAGGAGCAAAAGAAATGGAACAAGTGTAAGATTACGAATCAGACCACTGACGTTCTTGATTCAGGTGGAGACTTCAGTCTCCTTGTCTTTCACGGAGTGGATATGATCTTTATGAACTCTGTAAGATTTAGTATTCCTTATTTACTTTTCTTTGTAAAAGTTGTTCCCAAGCTTACAAGGTGTTATATGCCCCTTATAAAAATGACCCCTTCCTAGGACCCCTCCCTGCCAGACCCCTGTGCATTTCTACACACCACACGTGTGTGCCTGTGCACTCGTGAACATGCAGGGAAATGACATCATAATATACATATTGTCCAGAGCTTTACTCTTCTCACTTAATAACTTACATCTTTCCTTGTCAGAACAGTCAGCAGTTAGAGCATCACCTGTGAACCAGAGAGTCCTGGGTTAGGTTCCCTCTAAGGGCACATACCTCCATTGCAGTTTATCCCCTGCCCCGGTTGGGGTCTTGTGGATGGCAGCCAGTCAATGTGTCTCTCTCACATCAATGTTTCTCTCTTTCTTTCTCCCTCCCTCTCTCCCTCCTGCTCTATCTGAAAATAAATGCAAAAAAAAAAAAAAGTCCTCGGGTGAGGATAAAAAAATAAATAAGTACGTTTAATGAGGGAGGACACGTTTATTCTGCTATCATTAACACAAAAATATGTTCTATGAGTGCAGGTTGATGTGCAAGCATTTCCTAAACATACAAGTTCAACTTTCTTTGAATTGTTCTCTTGAATTGTCTCTTTGAATTGTCAGCTGTGCAGTGACATCTAACTAACATGAATGCATTGTGTCATCTTAAAGGGCCAACGTTCTAAAATTTTAACAAAAATGACTAGATGTATGAAAGGGCTGTGTCGTGGGGAAAAGAACGTGCCTATTTTGCCATCCTGGTGATAGCAGGAATGTGTAGGCTGCTTGTGCTCTGGGGGTGTGTTCCTAAGGGAAGTTTCAAGCTAGTTTAGAGAGAGAAAGGGGGGGGCAGAGAGAGGTCATAAGATCATTGTTATAACAGCAAAAAACGATGAACAAACTACGTACAACCTACATGTCCACTGAAAAGACACTGGTTAAATAAATAGGATACATTTATATTGTACAATTATTTTTTTAAATGTTACATGTTTTAACTGTTGAGATGACAAGATACCCACAATCAATACTGTTGAAAGAAAAAAAAAAAAAAGTTCTGTTTGGGTGGGGGGGGTGGAGTGAAGAAAAAAAATAAAAAGAAAACTGTAGCATGCTTATATATAAGGAAACGTCCAGAAAGATATAACCGAAATGTCAGCAGTGCTTCATGCAGGGTGTGATTATAAATATTCTATGTTACTTTTTTGTGATTTTTCTAAATCTTGGTTTTTTAAAAATCATCACATACTGGGTTTACAACTATATAAAACAATAAAGCCACACAAATTGTGGTACAGAATAAAAATTCAATTCCTGCTCTCGGTGCAGCGCGTCTTCAATGCTGTTTGCTGACCTGCCTTCCCAGGAGACCTCGTGACAGGACAATACATGAGGATGGTGCCAGCTGTGACCAGCTCTCAGAAGTAAAGCAGTGGGCAGGTCAGACAGGGGAAGGTAGAGCTAACCCCCTCCCAGGCCACGGACTTCCTAGCTCTGCACCAAGTGGTCGGCTTCATTCTCTGTAGAAGGAAGAGCACCTGTGCTGAGACCGGAACACAAAGCCAACGTCCTTCGCCCATGAGCCATCCTCTCTGGCCAACTGGTAGAACAGAGTTATGACTCAGTTAGAACAGAACACGCCAAACACACAGTTTGGGCTTGTCACTGTCAGAAACTGCTAGGAGTCTGAGATCTTACTCTACCTGCAAGCTAACCAGGCAGTCTGCAACTGTTCCCTGGGTGTTGGCGGAAGACACAAGACCCCGGAGACAGACAGAGAACAGTTTCTCTTTGAGGTCTATCCTGATGGCCCTTTTCTGTAGACCCACATTGTTGGAAATGCCTCACAGAGGAAATACGTTGCTTCCTTGATTCACAGAACTGTGTTAGATCTGTGGGAAGCAGCTACGAGGCGGAGGTGCTAACATGAGAAAAGACCTCATAATCTAATTTTTCTGTCTTAGGTATTAGTATATTCCAAATATCTGAACTAGTCTAGGGAGTGATAGCTTAGGAGGGAATATGATTTGAACTTCATCATGTTTGGAGGGTGTCTGAAATTGAGAAAGTGGGCAGATCCATCTCCTCGGACCCTAACCGTGACCCTGAAGTAAATTGCGTGAAGAAATTGGGTCCCAACGATTACAGGTGGGGAGTTGTTGAAGTATGTCCACATTCAAGTGTAGCTCAAAGAAGCTCAACTTAAAGAACTGTGGACTGACTGAAATGGCAACTGGATTGAGCAAAAAAAAAAGGATTCCGAGTCAAATTCAGGAGAAACTAAGGCAGTGTGTGAAAAGACTCAGAACATGTGAAATTCCTTAAATAAAAATGTATTAACTTTAAATAATTGTGCCTTTGATACAAATAATAAAAACCCTTTACACTTAAAAAAATAAAAAGAACAGTCTCCTCACCGTCTGCACTCAGGGGACCGTGATCGCCTTGCTCCGGTTTCCCGAGCCCCGGGTCCCACAGGATGGTGTGCAGAAGGCCAGCGGCGCCTGCACTCACACTGGGCTGCATTGCACGAGGGAACTTCAACTTAGGAAACCTGGATCTGTTGTAATAGCTGCCAATGACCTGCCCTCTGTCCTGGAGAAAGACATTGTCTTTATTGTACTGGACGAATCTGCCCTTTGTTCTGGAATGAGACACTATGTCTTCTAAGACTGTCTGCTATGTAAATACCTTTGAAATGATGGCCTGGAATAAAATCTGTGAGTGTCTGTTTGCAAGACGTGCAGAAATGTGCTAGAACCATGGAGAGCTGGCTCCCAATAGCAGCCTGTTGACTTTTCACCTTTTTCACATAGAGAGAGGAGCAGGCTCAAGGACCAGCATTCAGTGGTGAGCAATGTGTTTATTTCCTTATGAAAGAGTCCAGCTGAGGGCTTATTGTTGAATAGACCCAAGAAGAAAAACACGGTGTCCTTCTAAGCCTCCAACTGGTCAATTTTCAAATTTCCTTCCTAAGGAGAAAGGAGTAGCAGACTTGGTGAAACTCTCATTCAGAATGTCTAAACATGACCAAACAAACAAAAACACACAACCTTAGGGCCACTTTAAGTGTCCAGGGTATTACTTGGTTAAAATATAAAAACATTTTAGCTGTGGCCAGTTTTGCTCAGTGGTCAGAGCATCAGCCTGCGGACCAAAGTGTCGCGGGTTAGATTCCGGTCAAGGGTACGTTCCTTGCTTGCAGTTTGGTCCGCAGCCCTGGTCGAGGTTGTGCAGGAGGCAACCAATTGATGTGTCTCTTTCACATCCATGTCTCTCTCTCTCTCTCTCTCTCTCTCTCTCTCTCTCTCTCTCTCTCTCTCTTCCCCTCCCTCCCACTGTATCTGAAGATAAATGGAAAATATCCCCAGGTGAGGGTTAAAAAAATATATTTATATATAAGCATTTTAGAAATATTAAAAATAAACATGGATGGGTGTTGATTGAGAAGGGGCACACGTAACTGGGATAGCAAGTATTCTATAGCTAGAGGTGTGGATTACATGGGTGTTTTGTTTGTCATAACTCACATCGTTCTATCCTTGAGATCTGTACCTTTCACTATATGTAAATTACGCATCAATTAAAAAAATAACAATGAACAGTCAACTCTCACTTACTCAAGGTCCCGTGAACTTATTACAGGTAATCCAGGTTTCTTGTTTTACATGCCTATGTCTTCGTTACATTTTATATACTTAATCCCTACCTCTGTCATGTTGCACATGTTAATGCCTCTGCTGCACAGAATGTGATGGAGTGAATGATGGAGAAACTCAACTTCGTTAAATAAACTGCTTGTTAAAAAACCCAGTTTATCATAACCCCTGGCATCCAGCAGGTGCTCACTATGTGTTTCCTGAAATGAAGGACTTCAAAGTTAAGAACAGAATTGGTGGACAGAGGTTGAATACAAGATTTCAAAACCTTAGGTCAAGCACGTTCTGGATGTATTAGCATGTTTTTATTACCCACAGCTTTTTAAAGCCATTTTGTCGATAACCCAAAGTGCTGGGAGTAAATGAATAGGAGCTCTGTGTCTCATTTTGATTAGGTAAAAACGTTGGTCCTAAATGGTGGTGAGAGTTCCTCCTCCTTACCTTTGATATGTCCTTTGTTCTAATTATAGAAAGAACAGAGCAGTGGACGCTGAAGGTCAGGGTCACAGAGACACAGACAAAGAAGCACTTGTGAATCTCATTTTGGGGGTAATGAAGTAAGCAGCCAGCACACCCTTCCCCCTTCCTTCTCATTCGAGATCAGGCAGAGCACGCGCGCTATCCTGGGCATATCTCTAACACGGGCCTGGAGGGGGAAGACTACATCATCAGAAATACATGTAACTCAAATGTCTTCTGGATTCCATCGCTTCTAGGTTCAAATATGTCACGTTAAGTTTGCTAACCAAATACTCTGACCTGCCTAGTCAGGAATGCCAGACCTGCAGGGTTTTTATCCAAAATTCCTTCTTGCTTTCCATATACCCTGGGAGTCCCTTATAAACCTGTCTGCTCTGCTCACCTCCTGGGCTCTGTACCACTGTGTCTCACAAAGTGTCTTGAGGGACAGTTCCTACCCTCACCACACTGGCCATCAACATATGACCAGCGTCCTCGTCAAGGCTCCAGTCCCCTCCCACTCTCATAGCTGGGCATCTGTGAGCAGCCATTGCAATATGGGGTCTATGCAAAAGCATCGAGAAGGGTTTTCTTAACAACCTCTGGCTGTTTCCGGGCCCAATGCATAAAGTCTTGCATGAAAATAGTACCTTCAGCATCTGTCTCCTCATGAAGTCCCCAGTCAAGGCACTGCAGTAAGGGACAGGCGCCATGCTTCTCCCTGGTGGTCCTGTCCACTAATCACACAGCCACACTCTCTCCCCTCCTCCCTCCGTACCCCCTTTTCCACCAAATGCCACTGTGTAGATCAGTCACGCAAACAAATTCCCGGAGGGTTCCTGACTGACCAGTTCAGCAGAGAGCCAAGCTCGGTCTCGGAGGAGCACAGCTGGGCTCCCTGCTGTGCGCGGGCTCCTGGCATGTCCTGAGCATGGACAGGAGGCAGCTGTCTGATGTCTTGGGAGAAAAGGGATATCTAATTTGCTTTGTCTGAATGCAAAAGAGTAGAGCATGACACGAGAGAGCTTTGAATGCTGCTTTTTCCCTGATATTATCCCCCCAAATTCCAATTATGATTTGTTGAACTTCAAAGGTGTTGAAGTCATTTGAGATCCAGGAGTTCCCAGTGTCATTTTACCTTTAACAACAAGAACACACAGAACACATGCTTGATTCCAGGCCCCAGTCTAGGTCCTTTTGTGGAGTTGATTCATCCCCATTTTATGGATGAGTAACAGAGGTCCAGGGACGTTAATTGAATGAACATGTTATATAATCGAAAGAATCAGACTGACCTATGCCATCTGAAAGAGAGCCCGGCCTCTCAGGAAGAGCCAAGCTCTAGGGAGCCTGAGGTCTGAGGTGTGGAAAGAAGAGGGTGAGCAAGATGCTAAAGCTCATGGTCATCAGAGGTCAGTCTGCATAAGATCCTCACTCAAAACAGAGCAGATTGCATGTGAAAGTATGGGCTAGACGTTCCCTGGGCCACCAGACCACCGGCACTCTCAAAAGAATGAAAGGGTTTAGGTTTGTCCATCCAACATCTAAGTGAAAGTGTAGCAGACACCTAGACACGTGCGCTCGATTTGATGTAAGGCTTGTGTGGTCTGGGCTCTTGAAAGAAGCTGGGAGCAGAAGAGCTTCACTCAGACTCCAAGGGACACTGAGAACACACACACACACACACACACAATACTATCCATGTACTATAGCTTGGTAATGAGTCTCTATCCTTTCCACTCACCAAGTGAGTCACTTGTGACTGCGAGCAGAAAAGAGGGAACAGAGACGGGGAAGAAAACTGGATTGGTGGCACCAATGACTTGTATCTGTACCAGCACCCTTTCCTCCAGTACAGAAGTCCGAGAATGTTTATAAAACTGCCCTCTCTTTCCCTTCCATGATACTCTGCAGTCTAAGAAGGCAAAGGACATTTCAAGAAGAGGGAAAGACCTGTGCAAGGCTCGGGGAAAGGATGTTGGATGTTGAACGAGGCCACGTCTGAGAACGGTGGGGTCTGGGGAGCTCGGTGGGGCCGACAGATACGAACCGGGACGGGGGGCGAGGTGACTGGCCCCATCTGTACGTACAAACTGTGTGAGCTGCGGTAACTACCCTGGGGTAAGAAATAGATCTTCCCAACTTTGTCTTGATCAAATTAACACTGTTTGTGTAATACAATCTCTCCGATGCAATTTTATTTATAGTTATAGGTTCTCGAACTCTATTTTATATTGAATTAAATAGGAATAAACTAGTACTGCCTATTGAAAGCCTTTTCTTATAAGGTCCCCATCCTCTGTAAAGTTGATATCTCCTCGAAGTCCTAAAAGTCCTGAGGTGAAAACAATAAGTTGGCCAATAACAAGTCCACGTTTAGGCGGAGCTGTCGAGGCATTCTGTTATGGCCTGGATTGTGTTCTCCCCTACCCCCAATTCTTTGGTTGGAAACTTAATTCCTAGTACCTTGAAATGTGACCAGATACAGATAGAGTGTTTAAAATATAATTAAGTTGAAGTCAGTAGGCTAGATCCTAATCTCATATGAGTGGAGTCCTTATATGAGGAGGATATTAGAACGTAGACACACAGGGAGGGAAGACCATGTGAAGACACAGGAGGAAGCTGAGCATCTCCAAGCCAAAGTGAGAGGCCTCAGAAGAAACCAACCCACCAGCACCTTGACCTCAGACTTCAGCCTCCAGAGCTGTGAGAAAATGCCTGTCTGGTGGTTAAGGCCCCGGCCTGAGGCAGCCCTAGGAAACAGGCGCCGTTCCTCAGACACTTGTTAGGACTCCAA